TGCTGACAAGGGTGAGGAGAAAAAGGAAACCTCTTACTTTGTTGGTGGGATTATGGACTGATTCAGTCCCTCTGGAAAGAAGTGTGGAGTTTTCTGTACCACAGTTCTGTATGCACAAATAAATAAATCTTAAAGAAAAAAAAAAAGAAATGAGTGATGAGTGCTGACAAGGGTGAGGAGAAAAAGGAAACCTCTTACTTTGTTGGTGGGATTATGGACTGATTCAGTCCCTCTGGAAAGAAGTGTGGAGTTTTCTCAAAAGACTAAAAATGGATCTTCCCTGTGACCCAGAAACCACAAACTTAGGTATCTATCCCAAAAATATAAAAACACGAATCTCTGAAAGAAAACCTGTACTCCCAAACTTATAAAGGCACTACTTACAATAACTAAGATATGGAAATAATCAAAGTGTCCCAAAGCAGACAAGTGGATCAAGAAGATGTGGTATATGTCTACAATGAAATACTTGGCAATCAAAAATAAATAAATAAATAAATTGTTGCCATTTACAACAACATAGATAGAACTGGAAGGGCTTATACTAAATGAAACAAGCCAGAAGGAGAAAGATAAATGTAGGATAGTGTCACATATGTGTGGAATACAGAAAAACAAACAAACAAAGGATTAGAGAAAAGCAAACTTTAAAACCAACCCTTACAATTTCACCACTTATATCTCAGTGTGAGTGGGGGAGGAGAGAAATTAGGGGGAGAGTGGAGAGAATACAATGGACTGTGGTGAAGAACTATTGGTGGGAGGTCTACAGTTACTCTCCTGCTGGGAAATTCTGTACTGTCAAACCACCAGCAGGGATGTAAAATAACATTAAATAGACATAAAATACACAAATGTAAAATAGCATTAAAATAAATTCATCTACCTTGAGTAATGTTGGCAGTTTGTCTGTCATGAGAGTAATGAGCATATCCTAAATATAACCTTTGCCCTTTGTAACTCATAAATGTTATCTCTGCTTTAACATCCAACTCTACATTGCTTATGATATTTTTTGGAATATCAACTTAAGCTGTAAATGTTTTCAACTCACCTGGTATACATAACAACATGTGGATTCATCCAGTCAATGAGAAGTATAGCCAAGCATGAATGATAATATCTGCAAGTGATAATATAATTCATGATGTTATAGTAAGATCCCAAAAGACTAATGAAGGTATTAATCAGGCAGGAGCACTCTTTTCAGCTTGAGAAGGATTATAACCTTGATAATGTTTAGTTTTATGATGTAAATTTTTCAATTGCTGGAAAAGGATGAAATATTAACTTGTCTATACAAATAAGAATAAATAAGACATATATAGAATTAAACTCAGTATAAAATGCAGCTGTTAGTCTTTATTGCAGTGTGAGAAATTAGCATTTCTGAAGTCTGGTTTTCTTCATTCCAATAATGTTTCAACTTTGAATCACAATAGGAAAGATCTACTTGTTATTATTTGTTTATTTCTTAGCAAAGGACATTAAAATGAGATTGACGCCTACTGAATAAATTGTCATCACTTTTTAAAAGTCTACTTAGATATGAAAAATTACATGATATATAGTTTTCTTTTCCCTCTTTATTATCATAATATGAATTATTTCTTATAATTCTCTGAACACATCAGCATACACAAATTTTAACTATATTTTGTGATTGAAAAAAACTACAGGATTCAACATTTATAATTAAAGCATAATTTACAAATGAATATGCATTTGTTTGAAAATTTACATAAACGAGACTAAAAAGTTATTACAGTGAATAATCTCTGGTTTTGCTTGATTTACCAACACAGAAAAAAAAATTGCACAGATGTTTTCCTTAATACACACACACATATATAGAGGCACTACTAATTCCTTTTTGCACTGTTAATGAGGCTGGAGACTTAATAGCCTCGCTTTAATTCTTATTGTATGTCTCTAAATAATCCTACTAGATATGAGAGTCTGAATTCACTTTAGTAAAGCCAGTTAATATTCTTGAGGTTAATGAGGTTAATTGAATTAAGAAAATAATATCTAGTGTCCAGTGAAGCAGAGTGTAAGAGGGAGATTATTTGTAGTAATCTACATCGTTTGCTTCGCCCTTTCAAGCACACACATTTTTTTTGTTTTTTTCACATGTGACAGCTGTTGAGGTGGAAACAGATTCCCTGCCATTTGTGAAACCCTTCAAGTGGGTGGAAAAGGGCTAAAACAGGAGAGAAGAAACTATCCTGTTACAAAATGGTAGAGAGAAAGAGGTTGGCCTCCATGGAATGGGAGGGTTATCATGTCTTATACCTCTAAACCCACCTCACTGAGAGGGGAAAGAGCCTTGCAAATTCTTGCTTCCCTGGGTTGGTGTTTGAGTTTCCATGGAATTTTAAGGGTCAGAATGTACCTTTGTGTGGGTTATAGAACTGATGGTACCAGAAAATGAGAGCTAGCTAGGGTGCAACTGAAACAGAAATGAAAACTTGTTGGGCTGTTTCTGGGGGTTTGTTTGGTTTTGTTTCACTATTCAATGTCTTTTTCTTTTTCAGCTGCAGTGTATAAATACAATAGATATTAAAAAAAAATAAAGAAACACCCAATTCAAAGTCATCCAAAGTTCCTGATAAGGCAGTTTTTGCCATTAACGTGGAGCCACCTGACAGTTTGTGAGATACAGTGCACATAGCTCCATTTAAATATTTGTGCTTAAAAGTTAGCTGAATGGATGGCATGTCAGTTCCTGATTGGAGATAGAGCATTGCATGCCTGCCTCCTGATTACAGAGGTATAACTGGAAAATGGTAGGTCTTTGTAGCTCAATTTGATGCATTTCAGCACAGTGCCTATGAGGAACTGATCCCTTCAGGTAGACCAAGAGATAGTCATTATAGAATATCCCAGTGCATGTCCAGGAAAATATATTTGTGGAAATGAAATGCATTCATCCTTTTATTGAGAGCGCTACCTATCTAGGATAGGAATGTGATGGGAAAGTGGGAAATATAAATTATAAAAAAGGCAAGTCCTGCATTTTGTTTACCAATTGAAATTTTGTTTACCAATTGAAAAGGGAATCTATGTGTGCCTGGGTTTTAAGACTTCAAATGTTCTTGATAAATAGCCAGATAAATTAGCCTAATATCACCAGGGATTTGTTTGTCTTCAAACTCCAATGACATACAATGCTTACTCTTGCTAAATATTTGCACCAAGCTAAGCTATGTCACTTTTAAGATATAATGTAAAATGGGATTCTACCATCAAGGCCTTCAGGATTAATGTATGTCCACTTCCACCCACATAGACACACCAAAACTGCAACACAAAACATGTCAAAAGCTTCTTTCCAATCGAGACAATACTATGGTACAGAAAATAAACCCTATCATTTTCAGAAATGGAGGGCACATAGGTTACTAATGGTCAAAGAAGATATATTTGAAGGCTGAGAAAATTTATGAAAATTGGTAATGTGATGATCCTTGCAGGGATATTGAGAGTAACTCGAAAGGAAGAGAAAGCTGAACCCCTATGGATCAAATCTACCTTATTGGCAGAAGAAATGAAGAAAAAGACAGTGTCACAGACAAGAGTATATTTGGCTCATCTCACATCAAAAATCACATTCAGAAAAGCTTTCAGTTCATAGCCTCTATGAAAGCAATATAATCTGAACTTGATCTCTGCCATTGAGGAGTGATCCTGTTTTTCTCTTGTGGACTTAGGGTAGAACACACAGATAGAAAGTGTGTGCCCTTTTATGGAGAGTTGACATTATATGAGTGCTGCTAATAAAAGCCAAAACCAGTGAAGAGTATCAGTTCCCTACAGAGATTACACCCACTTCTCATGGAAGTGAAGCGAGACCCTGCAGTGTAAGCCACACTCTCCAGAAAGCCTGGAGTCTAGCAAAATATTTTAAAACTCATTGGTTGGTTGGAAAGTCATGATGTATTTTTTTCTGTTTTCTGTGCAAAAACGAGTCATGATTTTTCAGACACCACAATATTTTGTGAATGGTGAGTGAGTGCCAGGGTGATGTGGCTCCTTCAGCACACCTCTCTGAGCACACAGGAAATCAGAATTACTCAAGTTGTACTTCATTTCCAGCCTTCTAACTGGAGAGTTTGGAGAGGAGTTAGAATAAATGGCACATCAATTTAATTTTAGTAGACCTCAGAGTATGAATCAAGGACTTGGGAATGATTTTAGTGTTTTTTGCTCCCTAGTGAAGTATGACATAAATTTTCCTTACCAGAGTAGCTTGTTTAAATAACACCGTGTCTTCATAAAGGCTCTCTCTTATTATTTTCACTGAATTGATCTATTCTATAGACAGTTTTTAGTGTCTATTAAGGAAAATTAATGATGTCTTGCATAATTTATTTAGCAGCTTTTTTCTATGAGTATATACATTTGTCATTTTAATTTATTTTTATTGAAGTATTTCATGCTTCATGGTAGAAGTAAAATAATACAGAGGTGCTGCTGATGAAAAGTAACAGGGCAGTCACATCTCTTACTCCGTTTCATTTTCCCAAACACAACCACTTTGTAACAGTTGCTTTCTTTACACCCTTTCTCTCTCTCCATTTTCATTGGGTAAAGACTATACATGGCTCACAAATCCATATAATACACAAGAAGATGTTTAATATATATTAATGAGAAGGCTTGTGGACATCTCTGTTTTCAGAAACTCCTCCCCAGACACTGGCAACCACTCCATGGCTTATTATTTAGCTCCACTTTGTCTTCATGTCACTCCAGCAAGTGCAAGTGGACTTTCTTGTCTTTCTTCCCTTTCTGATTTTTATGCAACGATTCTAAATAATGTATTTACATATCATCCTCTGTATCAGTTTAAAATGCCCATACCCTGATTACCTCTCATGAAAGCAATAAACCTCACAGTCCATTTATAGTAAGTCTTCTTTTAGCTCTCATGTTCTTGGTCTGTTGGTTGTTTACTTTAGTACTTATATTAATAATTGAGATCTTTAAATCTTACTGTATTTAAGAATGGTGTTCTGCTTTGTTGGATGTGAACACCTAAATCTCCCCTATTTCTTTCTCTCTCTCTCTCTATTCTTTTTCAATTTGTTCATGCTGTCTTTAGCACATAGTGTCAAGGAAAATATGCACAGTAATTCTGCAGCAAATTTAGTTGTCGATGTTTTGCCTATGAGTTGTTCCTAAAGTTTTACAACTAAGAAAACATTTTCATTAATAATTGTATTCATTTGTGAGATCTGCTGTCTATCAGACTCTTCACCCATTTAGATAACCTGCTTTTCTTCTTTTTCACTCTTGACCAACATTAATCTCTTCCTCTTCTTGATTTGCAGTGTGCTGTGTCTATATGCTAGTCATTTTATATACAGTCTGTGGACTTTTCATCTGAATTTTGAGCCTTTCAGCTCTGCATTTATTGTTCATTTCTTCCTTCTTAATTTTATTTCCATCCTCTTTTACTCTCTTTTACAAAATGTCTATTTGTTGTCTTTTTGAACTTGATAGATAGGTGATAGTGTTTTGTTCTTTTTTTAGTATAAAATTTCTCAAATGTTTTAGTATTGAGCACCTCCATAGTTTAGCATCAGAAAATTATTATGTTGCCTCACTGCTGTCATTAAAAAAAAAAAAAAAAAAGAAAAGAAAAGAAAAAGAGAAAAGGAAAGAATGTAAGCAAAATCTATAACTCAGCACTGATTATCTAACTCCAGAGTTCGGGCTTTTGCATCTCTGTGCTTTATGAGAAACTTAAATATAACAAAATTTGAAGCCCAAATATATGCTGCAGAGTGCTTTTCTGTTTGTCTTTTCTTCATATTATTGTTTTAAAAGATACAGATTTTTATCCCTCTGTACTCATAAAAATATACAAAACACATTTATTTACCATTTTTCTGAGACTTTAGTTCTAATGACTAACTATGAATCCATTGATTATATTACTTCATTCACAAAGTGTGAACACTAAATTAACAATCAGAAATGTTGCTTTTGGTTATTGTAGTTAGTATATTTCTTCTTTAAGTCTGGTATATCTTGCTTACTTCAAGTCATCAATCACCATGTTCTAAAGAAACATTTACCAATTACTGAAATATTATAAAATTCTGTTAATTATCAAAGATATGTATTATTTCAAAGTAGTCACCAATGACTTTTTTTCTTTGTATATCCCTCTAATTCCTTGTATTTTCTTCCTCCTCCTTTAAGATATCACTGTTTTAATATACTATATTAAATGAAAAACATTTGTGAAAAAATAATATGCCAGACTATCTTGTTTTGAAAACAAATGGAATGTTATTGTAATTGATACTGATGGGAGACACTTGCTTGGCATTTGTCTTTTATTAGTTTCATAGATTATTTTTCTTAGCCTCACAAAAAGTACTTTTGTCTCTGGGGCAAGAGAACTGAAGACTGATTTGAGCTCTGCCTTTGGCTCTGAGCCCTGGGGTAAGTAGCTTCACTCTCTGGGTCTGTTTCCTGTCTATAAAAGGGACAGCAAACATCGATGTTTTCTGTTTTAAACTGCTAAGGTTTTATGTTAAACCACTTAACTTTCTCCAGGAGGCATTGACATGGTTGCTTTGCATTGACAGATGCCCAGAATCTACTCGGCCTGAAACAGTGCGCCCCTGTCTTCTTCCATGCAGAAAAGATTGCATGGTGACAGCTTTCAGTGAGTGGACACCCTGCCCAAGTTTATGCCAGCCAGGTAGGGGGATGCTGTTTACTTAGTGCTTTGGTTCCTAATTGCCCAGTGGTTTTCTTCTCTGCTAAATAAGTGAGACTGGAATGTGAGCACTCTTCTATTCGCATGTCACCCTGGATACAGGGGTCGATGAAGTTTGTAAATGAAGTCTTGAATGTCCAGATTCATACTAATTTGGCAGGAAACATATTCAATTATTATATCTCATCATTTCACTGGTGTGCATTCCAGAGTACTCATCTTTTATTAAGTCTGTTGTCATTTTGAAGTCATTCATATGTGCTTCCTTATCCCTCATGATTTCTTTGTGGTTCCTGGGTGCTTGGATCCTGACCCCTGGCAGCTTTATTAGAATATAGGACCTTAATTAAATATTTCTACTAAATCTGTAGAAGAACAAGGTAAGAAATATTAAAAATAAAGAAGAACAGGTATAGGAATTGACAATGAATATTTGTATTTCTTTACTCTTAATGGTTATACTTTATATTACTGAGTATATTAGAGAGTTATTAACCAGAATCTTTAATTCCTAAGTCCTAAAATAACATGTAGCAGTGCTTCAGTAAAAATGACCCTTTTTTCTTCGAACATCTTCTCCTGCCCCCATGCTTACTGCAGTTCCCCAGAGGGTGTGTGGAGATTTAAATACTTGTAGTTTCAAAGCTCCATTTCAGCCTATGACCCAGAGATAATAACTTGCCGCTCTCCCCAAGTTTTATATTCTTGTCTTGGCCTTTGTATCTTAACCATTGCCAGGATAAGAAAGGAAAATCTAAGAAAATTTCTACCAGAAGAATCATTGATCCTAGTGCTTGGGGCACATCCACACATCCCTGGTCTTCTTTTGGCCTCCTGAGCTCTCACACTGCTGCTGCACCACCTCCTGTAAGCAGGGAGAAGGAAACACGTAGCTCTGCAAAGAAAGGCTCTGTCCAAGACACTGAGAGTATAAAAGTCTCTGGGAAATTCCAACCCTGTGCTTCTCAAAAGCTCTTTGACTTACACATCTTCATTGGTGGTGACAGAAATATAAGGGATAGCATTGACATATATTTGACTGCCCATTTAAATTGCTTCTCAGTGATTGGCAAAGGGTAGTGATAGCTGTTGTTGAATGTCATCCTCAATGTCTTAAGTTGCAGTAGTGGGGCACAAGCATTGCATTTTCTGTGACTATGTGTTTCATCTTCTTAATAATCCTTTGTCACAGTATAGTAGTATCCAATGACCTTTGCATATGAATAGAATCAGAAGTAAATATACTGAATATGAAAGAGCTTTGAAAGCACAGTGGGATATTTATCTGATCTTTTGAGGGAGAAGAAACAACAGCCTATTTCCAGAACTCTCCAAAAGTTATTTCTCTGAATGACAATAACGTGTATTGGATTAGCTTGGTGAGTAGTTAGAGGAATTCCATTTCCAGGCAGACAGTGGATAGAAATGCTATGAGATCTATTCTGAACTGCTTTTAAGACAGTATCTGGGAGACTAAATTTTGGACTTCTCATGGTAATTTACCTGAACAATGATAATTGCTTGAAGACCAAATTTGGGAAAAAGCAGGAAGATACAATAGTCTATGATGATGGAGTTTAATTAAGGTTCAGTTTGTTAAAAAGTGTATTTCCCATGAGAGATTAGCATAATTCCTCTGTTAAGTGGTTATGAGAAAGAAAAAGACTGAATTAAAGAAAATCTGTGATGGCAACCAACTTTTGATGTTGGAGCTCTCAAGTTCCCCTAACACCAGCAGGTATATTATCGTGGCTGAACCAGTTGCTTTAATGACTAGCCACTACTTTTCTATACTCCAGAAAGTTCCCTGCTATTCATGTCTTCTACCACTGACTAAGGGTGAAGGAATTTTAAGCATGTCAAACAATTTCTGTTCCAGCAAGTGAAAATTTTACTTCAATTTCCAGCAATGCAATTAGTTACTCAAACAGTTTTCATTATAATGAAAATAGTTTTGGGCCTCTGTAGTCTCTTTTTGCTTCCTATATTTCAAGCCTAGATAATTCTTTTCACAGCCTACCAGCCAGGGGACCTGAAGGAATAACAATTCAATTTTCATATTTCTTCCAGTTTTCCACATCAATCCTATTTAACTTTATATTTAGTCTGTACCTTGGGGCCAATATATTATTAAATAACCATAGGTTAATTGGTTGGGATGAGGAAAGGAAGATTATTGGAGGAAATATCATATAAACCTATGGTTCTCAATCTTTATTGCTTCTTAGTGACCTGAAAGCATTATTAAAATGCAGGTTTTCAGCTCCATGGTGATAAATTCTGATTCAATAGCTATGGGATTGTCCCCCAAAAATTTGAGTTGTAACAAGTTACCTCTGAATGGTGATTTACTTCCCTCTTTGTGATAAAAAAAAAAATGACTGTAGAGATCTAAGCAAACAATACTCAATACTTATGCTCTGGATATATGGCTAATCTTCCAGCTTCTTGAATTCATCATGTTCTTCCCAGCTCAAGAGTTGTCAAATGTGGTGGCTAAGTGCATAGACACTGGAGACAGATGGCATGGTTCATTTCCAAGGGCTGCTATGTTACAGTGGACTTAGTTTCTGCATGTGCTAAATAGGATATGTGTGTGTGTATGTGTAAAGAACATACTTTATTGCAAGGCAGCTGATATCTGCTTGAAGTATCCAATGCATGTTTGCTTAATTCAAAGATTTACTTATTGTAGAGGTTCTCAGTCCTATGGAGTTTTTTTTTTTTTTTAAGATTTATTTATTTATTTGTACAGAACTGGGGTACAGGCCAGAGATGCGGAGGGTGAGAGGATTCACCAGAGACAGAGTGGGGAGCAGAACAGGCAGATCGACAAAGTACACTGCTGAGGGGAGCAGCGGGTGGGCCAGGAGAGGTCTGCCATGCCATGTGGTCACCTCCGGGGCAGGCGGAGATCGAACTCATTAGGAAGTGGCTTAGGCTTCTTTGTGCTGTGCTTTAACCCGCTGCGCCACCAGGGAGGGCCACGTATGGAGTGTTTTCAATGAAGAGATACTTGGAGACTCACCTTACCCCCACCTTACTGAGAATCTATTACTGTTAGAGGGGCATTTGGAATATTAAAATTCTCCATACATTACTCTACATATTCTGTCATTTATTTTTAAGTGGAGGAGGTGAAAACACTCCTTGATTGCATTATATTTTTCCAGATGACTTTACATACATTTCAAACAACTGTAGGAAACAATTAATAGATGTACTGGGTATTTTGTAGCTACTGCTTATATACCATCATGCCCAGTGTTTTGAGTTTTGTGTCATAAATCAGTAACTATTTTCCAAGATTTCTTGCAGGCTGCTTTTATATAGACTCACTTTATATTGCCAGCATTTTATTATATGGATTTATAGGTATGTAAATTAATATAATATTAATATACAATATCATTTATTTTTAGTATGTACTCTTGTGTACCCATCATCAAGTACAATCATCAACTCATGGTCACTCCTATCTTTATCACCATTGCTTCCCTTCCCTCCCAGTGAATTGATTTGTAGTAGTTCCTAGATACATGCACTACTTTCACTGCTGGGAGAAGTATGTCATCATTTAATGATATTAACTGGAAGATAAAATATGGCATATTCATAGTTCTTCCTGTAATTTTGCAGAAGTCCTGGAACTAATGGTTATTTGTCAGTCTCAGTAATTAAAGTTTGACAGAACTCCTTTACCTTTCATTTCAGAAACAAGGTTAGTGTTCATGCTTAAAGAAACGTCAACAGAAAACTGTGAGAATTGTTAGGAAAAAAATATATATATTTGGTTGTATCCTTTGCACGTATGCCAAACTTGTGGAGTGTTTACTTGTGGTTTCCTATTTCAAAGATAGTAATATTAGTTCAATGTCTAGGTAGTATAGCATAGTGGTTAGGGTATGAATGCTCAAGTTAGATTTATTGGGTTGAGATTCTGTCTTTCCCTTAAAAGTTTGTTGTTAGTCTTCCACATACTGGTACTATGGTACTTGTTTCCAAGTCTGTATACTTCTTGGATGAATGATACAATTTAGAGGGCAAGAGTCTTCTGATTTCATTAGTGAACTTCCTGTGATCAGTGCAATGTCGCCACATGAGGGACATTCAGCACTTTTTGCTGAATGACTGATTAAATGAGCTCAGCATCTTCTGCACAAATAATTCCTGTTCTTATAAATTTTGCTTTCACTTGAACGAAGTCACGATATTAACAGACTCCATTGGGTGTGACTTTCTCCCTCTAGTCTATAATTTAAAGACCATAGATCACTACTTAGTGATCACTACTTAGTACTCAATAAATATTCCTGAAAATTTAATTAGAGTTATAGCAAACACTTGTGCTTCTAGATGTTACAGCCCTGCTAACCTGAGGAGTTCTGCTGATAAAATGCATGAAACACACTTTCTCTCATGTGATAGGCAAAAAAAAAAAAAAAAAGTTTTTATTTCTTTCTTCTAATTTTTTCCTTCCATTTTTTTTTAAAGATTTATTTATTTGTGCATACAGAACTGGGGTACAGGCCAGAGGTGCAGGGGCATTGAGAGGATTCACCAGAGACAGAGTGGGGAGCAGAACAGGCAGATTGATGAAATACACTGCTGAGGGGAGCAGCAGGCGTGTCAGGAGAGGTCTCCTGTGCCATGTGGTCACCTCCAGGGCAGGCAGGGATCAAACTCTTGAGGAGGTGGCTTTAGCTTCGTAGTGCTGTGCTTTGACTTGCTGTGCCACCAGGGAGGGCCTCTGTCATGTATTTCTTTTCATGAAATTTAGCACCATCTTATTGGTCTCTATTACTTAATTTACGCATTTGTCAGTCTATTTTTTTACTGTTATTTTTCATGAAATTATATAAGTTTATTATTGGAAGCAAGGTCTGTTCACTTGCTGGTTCCTAAAAGGCATTTCTTACTGGAATGTCACATTTCAACTGAGATAAATTTGCCTGCAGGAAATACAGCAAGGGGTGTAATGT